TTTTTTCGTTTTTATAGCAGTAACACAGTAAACTATAACGGTTGTACCTTTGTGATGATTGTGTTTAGTTATTCATCATAAAAATAAGATACCAGATGACAAATAATGGTCCCTTTACTTGTTGACGAGATAGAAATAATCTGTTTGCTTCAAACTCTTTGCTCACTCACGTTTTATTTTAAATCGTACAAATGTTGATATTGAAAAATATTTACATCAATAATACGGCTTGAACGAAAACAATCTCAAATATGTTTTCTGTTCTTTATTGGTAGTGACGTCAAATAATGACACACCTTTAACAGTATGTCTGTTACCTGTTTCATTTTCAGGCTAAGAGCCATCCTCGATACTCCAGGTGTTACGATCACCTTCGTTCTCCCCTGGAACATGTCATGGCAAAATTGAAGACACAAGCAAAGTAATTGGATTGATTCCAGGATAAAACAACTGACCAATCATTGGCTAATACGTTCATTTTGAAGATTACAAAGGAGCGACACCCCACTTCAAAGCTATTAAAATGTACCGCTATGCGACCCCAACATTCGTTTGATGTAAATGAACGGATCAAACTAGTCTTTTCGTCTTGACTAAATGGTGTTGCAAACGGAATCTTCAATTTTGCCACGACATGTGCCAAAGAGTATCGAGGATGCCTTAGAGCGTGACAGTTGATAACGTGAATGTTATATTTGCTAACTTAATCCAAAGTTAATGACAAACTTTGATTACAAATCCATGTAGTTCAGTATTTTTTGTCTTTTTTTTTGAAAATTCAGGCTTCAGTTATCAGATGATAGTGGACCGTCGCAGATGGTTCCCAGTTACAATATCCTGAATACAGCTGACAGTAGTGAAACTGCTACACCTAAAGCCAACATCACCTGTACATCACACCAGGACTGTCCGGTTCCAGCTGCCGTAGGTCCTGTTGAAAGGTATTTCATTACACTGTTTAACATGCGCAGCCAGATCAATGTTCTGTTAGGAATGCATTATTTGATAGTCACAATTTACATATATCCTCGATGAAGCAGACTTTTCCTATTCCCAAACACCTTTTTCAGGAATTTCCGTCAATTGTCAATGTCCTGTTCTCTCTTCTTTTAATTTGAATTTGAAATATGACTATGTTCTTATTTTTGTCGTTGTCTTTGCATTCTGCGCATATGATTGAAATGATTATAGTCATTCGATAGTAACTGATAGTTCGTAACGATTGCTAGTAGACTTTTACGCGATGTTGAATTTTTCTTACCGGCCTTTAGCATGCATTCTGAAAATATGTTGTAGATATCCTCTATTCAAAACGATTTGTGTACTTTTTTATCACCAATACGTCACAGAGTCGAAATTTCTTACCTTTTTTTCAGAAACGAAGACACTTGCTTCTACCATGTCAATGAGAAGCCAGTGTATTTGTGTAATACGTGTAAAGGGCGACCTATATGCTACAAATGTCCGCTTGAAGGACATAAATATCATGACTACGAAGATCTGAATTCACATCTTGAAAGCAAGGAGAGAATATATCTTCAAATGGCGTTACGAAAAAACGCAATGGTGCTGAAAAAAGAGATGGAAAAAGGAAAAATAGAAAACGAAGAAAACATACGTAAAATAGCAGCAGAGCTTGATTCACGTGTTGAAGATATTACAGAACTGTTGCAGAAATGGAGAGAAGAATGCCTTAAGAAGCTTCAAACGGATGGTCAAGCAATCTACAACAACATCACTTTATCGGGAGCTCGAACGTTATTAAATTATGACAGAAATCTGAAACAAGAATTAAGACGCTTGAACACGACCAAGCGACTTGCAAAAATGTCTGAACAACCACCAGTTGACATAGAGGTGAATACAGGACCACTCACGTATGTTCAGTTTACTCCAGGAGCCACCGAGCACTTGATACAAGAGTTTGGACGCCTTTCCTATATCCTTTCAGACACTGAAGGCAGTAAAACGGGAAACACAGCAACCAGCAGCGCTATTTGTGACTCACTTGAAATCACTACATTTCTTCAGTCACATGCCCTATTAACTTCTTCTAGTCAGATGGCACAGACTGCGGAAAGTGAAGATTTGGAGGACGCGGTAGCTACCTTGCATAGTACCAAGTCAATTGTAGCTATCAATTCTGACGACAAGAAGCAGACAATGGTCGCAAAAGAAGAAAATGCCGAATGAACCGATCCCGAGCGAAAGCCAACGAACAATACCTATAGTAGGTAATAATACAGACCTGATTTAGAAACTGCACTGACAACAGCACACACCACCTGTTCCGTGGAGTAGAAATGCACGCGATGTACTTCTATAGCATCAAGTACTACTAGAACAACGAAATAAGTAAAGTATGGAAGAATTGACAACCTCGGATCGAAGTGATGCTGATGTAAGATCACAGAATCCAATCTGCATACAAACATAAGGGAAGGGTACACCATTCCTGCCCTCGACAATTCTAGTGACTTCATGCAGCATGCTGCAAGCTTTAAGTGTCCAACCTCTATACAGATTTCAAACAGGATCGATTCAATTCAACGAAATCGAAGAACCAAAGCAAATTAAAATCAGATATGTAGTGAGGTGGAAACCCAAAGTGACTGAAAGTGAATAGATATGTAACGTTTATAGCTGTGCATCCTCGACAATCCGCAGGTCACGACCACATTTCACTTTCTGCGCCCTTGGAACATTCATTGCAAAAATGAAGGCACCAGCGAAGTAATTTGATTGGTCTTGAGTGGATTTCATATGAAAAAACAACTGACCAATGACAGACTGATACACTCACTTTGAAGATAACAAATGAGATTCACCCAACCTCTAATCTAGTACAACATAAACCATTAAGCGATCTCGAGATTCATTCGACGTACATAAGAGAATAAACTAGCCTTCTCGTCTTATCCACCAGATGTCTCTCATGGAACTTTCAGTTTTGGCATGAAATATTCAAAGAGAAAAATAAACAGCAAGCGTAGTCCATAGAGTATCGAGGATGACAGTTGTGATAATATTTAAGTTGTTTTAAAGATAGCTAATTTGTCAGATTGACCAATATCCGGGAAGTAAGATGCATTTATTGTCCAAGTCTTGTGACGAACTAAATACTATGAATATCTTTTATATTGCATTCTCATTTTTTTTCGGATTGTTTTCAATCCTCGAAAATAATATCATTTATTCATATTACTGTAAATTTTACTAGTGAAATTCTAATTTTAAAAAAGACAATTCTCATTCAGTAATGTGAAAACATAAACTATCATACAATCAGCTCAGATTTGTCTTATTTTCCTCATTCATGTCCCTCATTATGTTATCCATTTTTAGTTTTAATCAAGATTCTGTTGACGCGTCTGTATTTTCTTTGATACACGTAACCGATACGATAGCCTATATTTCACGCGATGTGGGAGCGGCACGGTAGACCAATACTTGTATTTGTTGACGATCTCTCAAATATTTCAAATAAATGCTTAACCTTAAGTTAATATAACTTCTAAATGCTAAAAATATCATCGCCACTGTACTAGATGGGTGCTTGCTGTTCATTCAAAACCAGTCGTCGTCATGACAACACCATGGAACTGTGTAATTATACAGACATACCACTAAGACAAAGTACGACCAGGGGATACCAAATACTGTTTATGTAATGTTCAAATTTCAACCACTATTTTAATTATCGAGTGCCTTGTAAAATCTTTTTCAAGAACAAGGGGGGAAACTCTGTCGTCTTTCTAGCAATGTCGAATATTGTTATATGTTTTTAGATCGTGCTAGAAGTTGTTATTCCACACTGCACACAACAAAAACGTAAAAAGCACAACTAAAACAAAGTACAAATTGTAATGGGTAAATGATCGCAATAATCAGACCTGCAGTTATGCCAAACATGGACTACGCCATTTTGCTCCTATAGTGCGACCTAATACATATATATCAATTTTCACAAAAATTATCAGCAGTAAATGATCGCAATAATCAGACCTGCAGTTATGCCATACATGGACTACGCCATTTTGCTCCTATAGTGCGACCTAATACATATATACCAATTTTCAAGAAAATCAGACAATATCTAAAATTTGGCCAAATTTTGACCACAGCTGACTGCTCAGATGACCGATTGGGAAAAATTTAAGTGGGCTGCACTCCGCCTCGCATGTATGAATATGTGTGTAAAGTTTTGTTAAATTCCATATAATCCAATCAAATCACAAGTGTAGTCCAAACAAGATAATAAAATGCAATTAAAATTACAATCATCAAAACCGCGCAGAACAAAATAACAAATGTAGTCCTAACAGGTGAAGAACGTGAAAACCAAAGCTGTAACAGGTAAAAGATTGTGTAAACAGAATCAAACAAGAGATCCGAGAGGATTCTTAGAGGTCACCATTGTTTGATCTTTATTTGTTCTTTGAATGTGGGATCTTTTCTCTTCTTTTCTCTGCCTTTGCTCTTAATGATAATAAATTTGAACATTAATCCTTTGCAGAAATAAAGATAATATTATAAAGATAATACAACTACCATATCTAAGATTTTGCTTTTTCTGATCAGTCACAAAATTTAATGGGCAACAATGGGGAACCTAGATAAGAAATTTGAGAGAGATCCCTTCAGCACTTCTGCAGAAATATTGATAACAAACTTCACTCTGTGAAATCCAAGATGGTCATCTGTCCGCCATTTTGTTTTTCTGATCACTTCAAAAATCAAATGGGTACAACAAAAAATGTGTATGGATGGACGGACAACAGATGTAAGACAATTTGAATACCCCCACCAGCTGATGATGGTGGGAGAAAAAGACATTGGAAACAATACAACAGCAGACCCAACAAGTATGTTCCTACATGTTACAAAATCATCATTCAATCTCAATAAAGATGAAACAATGGCAAAATAACGACTTTCAAAAATTTTTTGACCTAAAACCTTTTACGTTACTTGCCTAAAAAAAAACAGAAATCACAAAGTTTTATTATTCATGTTTTATTCCATTATTTAAAAGAAGTAGATTCCAACTACCATTTTACATGGATCTGTATTCAGCCCCTACTTCCTTTGCAAATGGTCAATCAACAAGCAAAAAGGGAAAATATATCAAATATAATGTTACTATCACTAATAATCAGCTTGTAGCACGTCTCGACATTCTGATTAATAATCACAGGTCACAGAAATAATGCAATATTGACCAGTGCATAGTGGTGCCACATTATTACTTTGAATCGTTTATTAAATCAACAATTCCCTCAAACTATCAAAATCAATGTCTATTATCACATTTCTCACATAAAAAATACTTTTTTTTATCAAAAAATGCCAAAAAAGAATCAGATGTGAAAATAATTGATCACGAATTAGCTACTTTCCAAACAGGCAAAATTCCAACAATTTGGATTCTCATAAGAAATATGTTGATTTATGGAGCTCTATGATAGCAAAATCCTGGTATTTTCTTCCATCTTTATCAGCATAAAAGTAAGTGAAGAGCTTTCAAGACCCTGGAATTTTCCTTTAACATAGTCTGTAAGATCTTTCTGTATCTTCTTAATTTCTTCATTTTTGAAAATGTCTGTGAAGATTCTAAACTGTAATGTTCTCTTCTATTTTTATATGTGAAAATGTCAGATAAGATGAACCAGAGCAGCTGTAATTAAGAAGGAGAGAGTGACCACCAGGTATCCACTGTTGTAGGTCTCTTTTAAGCTGAAGCCTTTAGCCCAATCCCACGCCTGGAACAACACAAGACATTAAAGACACAAAACAGCAAACAGGAGATCACATACAAATGTATCAGAATGTACATAAAACTTTAGGATATTCTTTCCATCTTCGCAATAACTATATCAACATAATGATTAAACTTTCTAGTGATTCTTGAGCATATCATTCATGTTAAAATATTTCAGTATTAGTACTTGAATGTTGTGTTTCAGAACTTAAACCACAGAAATTGCTATAATAAATCTGATGATAAAAGAAGATATATTCAGCTGTTTCTGTTTTCTTTCTCTCAAGCCAATTAGATATTCTCAATTAAAAACAGATCATAAGATTAACCGATATGTCTAGATTTGTAAAATAGTTGCCATTTTGATACTTACCAGATGCCGTATACCATTGACATAGTGATAGGTGAAGGGAAAAGCTACTATATATTTACAGGCAATCACACTCCCTGCACTTAGATGTACAGAGTGAAGATAGGTGGTGAAATCTCCAGGGGCAAACATCAAACCTGTAGCCACAACTGGGATAGCTGTCAGAAACAAACAAGAGTAAAACATCAGGCCATAGGATCAATACATACATATCAAGCTATCATGCTATAGTTCAATCTCTAATGAAGTTAAAACAATTTCAAATTGAAGATAAAAATATTGGGTTTCAAAAATGTAATTTCCTGAAGAAAAAAAATAAGGAAATTTGACCCTCACCATGGTGGGAAATGTGAGACCCTATGCTCATGAAATTTACAATTTTGGTTTAACACTTTAAGACATTTTCATCCACACAGAATATTGGCTCTACTTTATCTAGGAATTGAGAAGAAATTTTTTTAAATTTCAGTCAATTTCGCCAATTTTGGGTCAGCCAGGAACAACACATACATATTCTCAAACTGTTATCCTAAAATGGCCATTCTAACCAAGCTTAAATTCTTTCCAAAAGAAAGTAAACAAATCATGCTCCAAGATCTTATTTTCCAATATAAACTTTTGTGAATTAGATAGCAAATGAGGAAAACTGATTGTCTGTATCACAACAAATTTCAAAATCATAAATGAAATAAAAAATTATATTAATTGATAATAACTCTAACCAAGTTTGAATCCACTCAAAAATTAAATAAGTTATTCTCAAAAATGTTCTTTTTTCCCTATAAACTACAGAAAACTCAATTTTCAGTCTAGTTTGGCCACTTTTGGACCTGCCCCTCAGGTTGTTAGGATGGGGACTATATGATTTACAATACTGATTTGTCTGTGGCCCTTGAAGGTTTCAGTAAAATTTCATTGTAACTTGTTCATGGGTTTTTGGAAAGATGCTTATAATGTTTAAGGACACTCGTCAGATTACACACGATGTCAGAAACAAGAAAAAAGAGGATTGCAATAGGTCACCATGAGATTTAGGTGACCTAGAATGTGTTCTATACAGGGTGTTCCCCTCTGTCTCATCTCTCCACAAAAACAAAGTACATGCCTGTTTATACTACTGTACTGTACTTACCAACTGACATTGCTATACCAGTGGCTCTGTGAGTCAGCGACAACATTGAGGTAAGCTGTGGTCTATAATACAAATTTTATAATTAGAAAATGCAGGAAACTTGTATGTTAGCTACTAGTTATCAGAATTATGTTTATTTACTCCGTCAATAATGTACCTACTAAGTCATGTTACATCTATCATGAATATTCAACAGAAACATACATGCTACCTCTTATCAGTTGATGAAAAAGATTCTACAAATGACACACAAGTGAATATCATCTCTTATACAAATTAAGGAAAGATAAAATAGAGACAAACAATGAATTAAACAGCATCATACAGCTGTTTCCGCCTTCTGTGACTCATCAGTGATACGAAGAGCCTAATTCTAAACTAATGAGATGAGTGAGAAGAATCCAAAGTTATCAAAAGAAATGTCAAAATTTAGTTTGCACTAGCCCCATAATTCAGTAGATTTTAGAAGAACATCAAGTACATGACTGTATGAATAAAAACCTGGCATAAAGGTTACAGCAAACCTTGTGTATCCAGTTACACCAGGGTTGTTCAGTGTGATCTTTACAACATACAAGTGACTGAGTAGGTCTAAAAAATGAAGAACTTACATGGTTCTAACAAATATTGTTAATTTGGTATTTTACACATTTAAAGAGGTTAAAGATTGAGTCCAGAGCTAATAACGCTATCACTGAAACATGTTTATAGTGTGATCACACTGAAATATCACAACCTAGAAATTTATAAACTGTAGTCTTAGCCATAGATTGACAAATGTATATCAGGTAGGTTTTTTTTTTAGATCAACACGTGTATATTAAGTTGCCTTACCTGTAGATTGACAGATGAGGAGACAGTGGTCTGTTAAGTTTTTTGTTTTTTTGCCAGAAATCCTTCATTTCATCGTAAGCTTGTGATGATGATGGCTGTATACTATTAAATGAAAAACAAATGATATTTATCATGTACATAATACAGTGTTCTCACAAAAAGGAAACAGATGTTTGGTTTAAGAAAGCAGTTTTCTATATATCTCCTAAAAACATAACCAGTTAACTGTTTATAAATAACAGGCTAATCTGTGAACCAAATCGTTTTTAACTGGACCAACGTTGTCTATCAAGATCTGATCTTCGGAAAAATTAAAGAATTTAATCTTTTTATGCAGTAACAAATAGAAATTCTAGGTAAGTTTCTTTGTTAAACAATTTGACATAGCAAGCAATCAAAATAATATAGATGTATGAAGACTTTGAACATCAAAAGAGTTTAAAGTGTTTTTAATGACTTCTGTCTATTGAATCATTGCGACAGTTCATTGCATGGTATACAGCGGTCAAGATTTTATTCTGATGAGTCCAGAACATCATTTCCTAAATAATGACTGACATTCACAAACAAAAAATACATTCAACAACAAGCCAGGAAGGAGGGACTCAATAATTTCATTACAATAGAAAATAGACATCCTCATCAAAAACATTGATTACGATCAGTTTTTTAAGAACAGTTATTAACAGTAAAATTAAACCTTGATACATATTGGTAGGCATTGGATTATTAAGCGTCTTGTAGGATTTAGTGTGAAATGTTATGTGATTATGTATAATCAAATGAAAGAAAATTTTAAAAAATACCAGATAATCCATAATACTGCATCAGTGAAACTCAAATATTTGAGTCCTGGACTTGTGCTTTTCCTGTGGTACTTTTTGGGAACCTATTCCATCCCATTTTAGCTAAATTTATAAAACTTTTTGAAATGCTTAAATAATTTTATCAACCATGGTAATCACTGATGCATGTGTCATACCATTTTGTAATCACCAATTTGTTGTGTCCAAGTAGTCCTTTTCTGCCAAGATTTCTGAAAGAAAGATAAGATTTAGGTCAGGTATTTATAATGTTTAGTAATTAAAAGAAACAAATCTTGTGCTTGTCAAAATAAACAGAAGGACCTTGTACGTGAACCTGTTAGTCTTCGGAAACTGGAGAATACTTTAGAAGAGTTTCAGCACATTGATATCCGCAACTATGAAATAAGATCAACATCATTTACATATGTATATTTCTTATCACAAAAACACTATCAGAATATGAGTACCCTGAACTTTATGAAACTTGAAAAGAATTTTTTTCTAGGTTTTTAACAAATTTTTATAGTATTCCATCCCAGACCTTCTGACCAAACATTACTATCCAACTGCTTATGCTTTTGGACGGAATGTTGCTCAAAGAAAAATTAGGCATGCATAGAGACAGATGGACATATGTACTTTTATCCTGCAACTAGCACTGCCATTGTCAAAATACACTTGCCACATATATTTTTGCTATATTCGGCAGTGAAAGAAAACATCTGTATTTTGGCATGAACAGTAATTCAACAGAATTACTTCCTGACTTTAAATTACGTCTAACAACACAATAATTTTTCAAACAGGCAATTTTTTATGTTATACTGAACAAGTTTATTCACAAAAGTCATAAAATCACTGTCATATTCATTGAAGTTTGGAACAATTTTTCTGTGCAGAGAAATTATTATGGCAATATGCCATCAGGCAAAATCCAACGTAACATCATCATTAGGTAAACTGCTGAAGTTTTGATTGCCTGATTTTCAATCAGTGTTGCATGATTAACTCGCCACTTTTATTTTTCTTCACCCTCGCCAAAACACGGCTTATATTTTATTACACAGACCATGTATTCTCTATACATGCAACAATAATAGGGAGGTCAGCTCAAAAAATGAACCACCTAGAAAACATTTTAAAACATGTTTTTTGGACAAAACTCAAAGAAAGAGGAATTTTGGTGCAAAAATTTTGGAAATCGGTTGAGCGGTTCAAAAGTTACATCAATTTTTGTACCTCGAAAAGCGACCCTTTTTCTGTTTTTAGCAAATAGTCCCTAAAAGAGGCATGTTTGAGGCCTTATATCTGAAAATGTGGTTATGATATGTATTGTCTGATTGTTGTAGGGTGCCAAGTTCCCCTTAAGCTTCAAAAAGAAACATTTACTTAGTTTAGGTGGGGACAGATAAAAAAAAAATTGGCAGCTGAACATGAGGAATTATTCGTTTGGACTTAGTTTTTTTGAGAAATGTGTCGGCACCCCTCTTTGCTAGACTACAACTTTTGAAGAACTTTATCTTAAAAAGTAATCACCCAATTTATCCAAATCTCCTTATTTTTACAGATCACAATGCATTTTCTTGAAAAAAAATTCCAGTTAGGGTTTAAGATCATTATTTTTTTTAATATTTTGATATCAAATACCCTGCGCAGCCCCTTTTTGAGACGAAATCGAAAATTTCAGAAAAAATGACTTTTTTGATGCAGAAAGCTCAAAAAAAATCTGGAATTTTTTTTATATGGTGTTTCTTGTTGATCTTTGTATGTTTTATCAGAAAATATGTAATATTTCCCCTAAATTTTTTTTTTGAAAGCAACAGCTCCAAAATATAGCTGCCAAAGAGGTATATTTTTAGCCCCGAAAAGACGAAAAATAACATTTTTTCAGGACAAAAAGATCTTCAACTACTCCCAGGTGGTAATAAAATGACAATTTATATAAGAATGCTTATTTCTACATACAAATGATCCAGTTTTAACTCAAAACAACAATTTTTTGCAACATTTAAGGTTGTTTTTCTACGTTTTGAAAATTTTGGATAAAACCTGAAATTTGTGTTTAATCATGAAATGCGAGAAGAATATAAACTATTGTATGGTGTATAAGGTATCATTTTAAAGATAGAAATATGTAGAATGCAACTAGCACATATTTGTACCTCTATCTATTAACAGCACCAAGTATTTCTATAAAAACCTAGCCCTACCCCAAAATCAAACATTCTCAGAAGGTGAAACCCCCCCCCCAATTTTTTTTTACTCCTACAAACAATATCATTTGAGAAAAAACGTTCCTGTTGATATTAGTTCACCTTTTATAAGCCTTAAGAGTTGAAACACGGTTATTCTTGTCTTTATAAGTTTATCCTTAAGATTAAGATAAAAGCACAAAAAATAGGTAAATCTGTCATTATCTAGCATAAGTTATTTTTAACATCAATGTTAAAATTTAACGGTCATAAAAATTGTTATCTAATTAATTCATTGATAGTATTGAAAAAAAAAGTAAAAACAATCATCACATACTTATCAAACTGCAAATAAAAAAGTGTATTGGATTGTAAATAAAACTTATCACACTTACCAAAAATAAAATGAAAATCAGTATATCAGAGCGTGTAAACAAACTAAAAAGAAAATAAATCAAAATAATTTTTTTTTTTTTTAGAAAAAGATTTATTTAGATTAAAAATTAAATAAAATAAATCACAATTATTATTCTTCCTCTGAAAAATTTGACAACTTAAAAAGAAACCAAAATAAGGTAAAATAAAACTTAAAGAAATAAAAGAGATTTTAAAAAGTGTCATAAATTAGCAAAACAATTAAAAATATAAAGAATTTCAACAAAATAAATAAAACAACTTTCTTTCACTTCAACAATACCCCCTTGCATTGATAAAGAAGGGCAGTTCTTACATTCAGAAGGAATTTAACAACCAAGATATAGACCAAAATCAACTTTCTGAGTTAAGAAGAATGGGCTAGTTGAGAGGGAGTATAATCATGATATTTTACAGAGAAAATTGTTTTCTCATCAAATGTTCATCCATTTATTTCATGGAAAATAATTTGTATTTGTGTCTTAAAAGATTAAGAAAATAAAGTATGGTTCTGTGTTCAGAAAATGTTTTTTTTATACCCCCAAACATATTTTTCTTAACCACAGCAACTATTCCCCCCCACCCCCCACCCCCCCCCCCCCCCCCCCCCCCCCCCCCCCCCGTTTTTCTTTTGTTCTAAAACTTTTATATAAATCCTAAAGAAAATCGAATGTTTCCTTTGATATTTAACATAAAAATCCCAAAATGTTCCGAATGGACATACTGATGTCCCATTGGTCAATTTTGTTTACCGGGTCGGGAGGATTTGCACCCGGCCTGCAGCAGCAGCAAAGTTCGATAACTCATACGAACAAAACATTGTGGCAAAAGTCATTCAAATATCCAATGATTTCCGCTGGCTGCTCTTGTTATTTTGTTGAAACCTTGGTTACCAATCGCTAGATGAAGGTCCAGGCTACCAAAATCCGAGTGATCCCTGTTCGCGGCGAAGTGATATCACGGTAAAAAAACACTGTTTTGCAAATTTATATTTTTTACAGTGTGATCCTTATACTTTTTCAAAAGAGATCACTCAGTTTCAAAAACTAGACTATATTTCCTAAATTTTAAGCCATTAATGGTAAAAATTGGTCCAGTAATAGCCAGCGGATTTAATTCTGAACTTGGCACACTTGTTGACACATAAATCAACATGGCGGCCGAATTTTTGGAAACGACTTCACTTCGAACTCCATGCAATGGTAGGAATTTATATCTTATTACAAAATAATTACCAAAATAAGAAAATATAAGTCTTGAACTTTATTTTGATATATTTCTATCCCCCAACTACGCTTATTTGATATTTTAATTTTAGTGTGAAAAACCCGAAAAAATGGGGTTTTTTGCTCCAACAGAACGTAATAAGCCTGTAAATGACCGTCGCCGACCTCCCTAACAATAAGCCTACACTATATTTGCCATTAGTCCGAAGGGTTTTGACTATCTATCTGCAACTTTTTTTCTTTGTTTCGGCTGTGACCAAGACAAAAAAAATCGCAGAAAGATAGTCAGAGCCTTCAGACTAATTTGCCTTTTGATTTAAAAACCCATGTACAATTACTCCCTGCTCCATATATTTCCCAATCATGAATCACTAAAATCAAAATTAGTGCAGAGCGTGATTACTAATTATCAGCAGTAATATTTACTTACTAATGTGTACATTGTATTCTTTGCTAAGAGAACTACGTGTAGTAAGACAACTTTTTGATATCCTACATTGCATGTGTTTATCAAACAAAACCCTTCAGTTAACCAACATTACGTAAACTCATTAGCGATGTATCATCATAAATTTGCTGTATATCAATACTGACAGAAATCGTGCGCTTATGATTTATATCAATTGAAAACTATCACTGTCACAAATTTTTTTTGTTTCGGCTGTGACCAAGACAAAAAAAATCGCAGAAAGATGTATTCCTTTTGATTTAAAAACCCATGTACAATTACTCCCTGCTCCATATATTTCCCAATCATGAATCACTAAAATCAAAATTAGCTTCAAAATTTAGAAAATAACTGTTACTTTGAGATCGTTACGCGACATGCATGGCAAAACTAGAAACTTGGGCCAAGGGCAAACACGAACAAACCTAAACTCTTGCATTTTTATGGAATTCATGAACTTAAAGTTGTACGATAACAAACGTGTATGGTATACAATAACGCATTGCTCTTGTGTTGCAATATATCAGATTCGAGCAATCTGTAAAATTGACAAAAACATATTATCAAATCCCAATATTTTTTTTCACCTCAATAGAAGCGCCATCTTGAATGTCTATTTGGAACTCCTCTAGACTTAACATATTATAATAAACTAAATGTCAGAAATGTGTCGATCGAATCCAACTCTCGAAAAATCTCGCTTGCATATTCGAGATTTATGAACCGGAGGCGCCAGAATCAAAACAACACCAGACAACAATATTTTGGTAGGGAAATAGGTTTGTTGAATTCTAGCTATGACCCAATGTTAGGTTTATTGATAATTTACTCAGCGCTCAATACCACTTTATCATACATTGTATGATCATTTTATTGCTGGGGAGTGTCCTCTAAAATTTTCCGTGATTTTTGGGCTGGTCCCGTGTATTTCAATGTGGAATTTCGTCTTTACGTGTGTGACTGCATGCGCAAATGCCGATTAGGGAAATGGAAAATGGTTGATAAAATTGATCGAAATATCAAATATTTGTTGTAAGAAAATGCATATTCGCAAAAAATTAAATCTAGACCGATACATTTATTGTTGAACACGCCCATTTTATTTAATAAGACCTATCACTCAGATTGGATATACATGTACAGGGGTCCTACATGTACAGGTGTCCTCTGGCTGGCACCTTTAGTTGGGCAAAACCCCACATATGGGTTAAAGTTCTAAATTTGAGGAATGTTTACTGCTTAAGAGTAATCAATTAGTAACTCAACAGACCGAAAATTTGTGTCTCTAAAATATTCACATTTATTATGTTGTTATTGATATTTACATATTTATTGATTATGCTCATTTTAGAGACAGGGTGGAGGAGTTCATAAAAGTGGTAAAACTTAAACATCATGGACAAAGCGAATTAAACAATTTCCCCCTCCCTAACATACCCAGAAATCTTTAGTTTATTTCAAAGCAAAATTATGCATATTTGCCTGACTAACCTTTTCAGATTTGATAATTTAATTTTAAGCCATTTCATTAGGTTTTTTCTCTGCTTTGACTTGAACTTTTGTTTGTGCCACCTTTTCCAGTTATAAAGTAGAACCCACTTAATGTCATGTCTGTTTAAGGGATATTCCGCCCAAGATGCAAATATATTTTACTGCTCCATTCGTTTTTAATCTATCATTTATGACTATTCAAATGATTGTAAGCTTTAAAATATCCATCTGGTGGTCTTAATGGAAACACACATCATTTTGAAAGTGAGGCTGCAAAAAACAATTATGTCAGTTATCCATAAAACTGCTGCCACATTTTTAATGGAATATAAAGGGAGAAAATCGGTGTATCAAGAAAAATGTGATATATCACCAGAAAGTGACATTGAAGGGATATTCCACACAAGTTAGGATTTCATAGGATGCTTTTTGAGAAAATTCTGATATGGTCACTTATTTTCACATGGATATGCTTAATGTCACTCCATTTTGATGACTTTTACAAAAATTCATAGGTAGATATCAGGTAAGTGAGGACAGGATCAATGGATTCATGCCTGATAGTTAATATGTCATACCTGGACGTGTTATGTAAACATTGTCACTTCCCTACTGCAAAACACATTTGCTGATGACACAGAAATGTCACATACAAATCTGACCTTGTGTAAATTGGAATATTGGAATATAATAGTTAAAACTTCAAATGAGGAGATTGCCACATTTCTTTTTGCTTGTCATCTAAGGTTATGTGTAAATTTCACAAGGAAGTCTCTTGATCAATGGTGTAAGATGTTAGGACTATATTTACACAGAAAAATGTATAATTATAATCAAAACATATATGTATACTGTCTTAATTTGTCATGTGAAAATGGCATGCTGTTTGGAAATTTCCTTTAAAATCAATTTGACACAAAAAAGTCTTTCTTTTGTTCATCATCTTCCGTTTGTAAGTTCTATGTAGCCTAAAAGTCTGGAATACTGTTCTGTGATCTGTATGATGTTAAATATATGGGTTGATCTAGAATTTGGGGAATACTACACATTGTGGAAGGAGGTAATTACTTGGATATTTTAGAGAAATGGAAGAATTTTCTCACACCTCTGTTGGTCACAATTCAAAAGAGGGATAGGGTTAAACTAGATGACTTATATGAATGACAATTGAGGTCAAATTGAATTCTCATTTCTTGGCAGCATGACTTGAAAATATGTTCAGTAAAAATACATTAATTGCTCTGTTTTGAAGAAATTTTCTGTATTTTTAGGAAATTTCCCCATGTTTTCAGTATACTTTCTTGATGGAAAATTTGTTTATATTCAGAGGGGAAAACATACCTCTTGGGGAATACTCCCTTTTTTACTGGTGGTAAAATTTGTCGAGATTAATCCCTGAAATGTATGATGAATTGTTTTGATTCTTTATTACAGGTCAATAATACCAAGTGTTTGATCAGAGCTCTAACTAATCAACACCATCATGCCTGTGGAACAGATTTCATACTCAGAGAAATATTTTGATGAACATTTTGAGTACAGGTATGGCATAAGATTTCTGTTACAGTAGCTCTAGATTTAGTCAAGTGTTTTGTAAAACACACTTCTGTGCAGTAAGCTCATCCTTAACCAAAACCCCAACTGGCGAATAGTGTATAAACACAAGATTCACATTTTATATAGGTCTAGATTCTTAGACTTATGATAAAGCATGGAATTTCAAAGCAGTTTTAATTCTTTGCTGTTTCCCAGAATAGAATAACCTTAATATAAAGTTGACATGCCTTGAAATGATAAGAGGAGAGAAAAGATAAATAGAATGATTAGAAAACGATTTCTTTCAGTTTTCAAATTGGAAACAAAAGCATCTTAATGGTAATCTGAATAGTAAAACCTTCAAATGATTACCACATTTGTATTTGTTTGGCTTCTAAAGTTATGTGTAAATGTCAATGGGAAGTCTTTCAATCTTTACCAATGGTGTTGGATGTCTGGACTATATTTCCACAGAAAAATGTTTAATTTCAGTCATAACATATATATGTAACAGAGGTCATTTTTCATCTCAAGGCCTCCGCTAGGAATCGAACCCGGGACCCCTGGCTTACTAGTCTAGAAGTTCTCTCTAGCCGAGTAGTATATTGCGGCTAGTATTTTACCAGGGTTACACATATATTGCCCTAATTTGAGTTGTCTGAAAATAGCATGCTGTATGGAATAAAAGGTTATGTTTAGCCATTTTAAATTATCAGGGTTTTCCCTGGGACTCTCAATCTTACGAATTGTAAGATTCCACATACTCAAATCATACATGAAAGAAAGTAAAATGCATGATTTTTTAGGGTCTTTTGTCAGATTATGGAATAAAAATGAAGGTTTTTTTAGGGTTATGGAAAACCCGGAATCATATCTTCTAGTCTATCTATTTTAGTGTTTTAATATAAATCGTTTGAAGTGGAAAGTGTTTCAAATGGAAAAACATATTATACATATGGACACTTGATTACTAAGAAAAACAGGCATTTTTTCTGGTTTCTTAGGATAATGGATCTCATTCCAAATTGAAATTATTTCACATTTAAGCCAAATTCTGAAATTCTTCAGTTTACTCTGAAAAAGTTCCTTCAAAATCCATTAGTTGCTAAATCGAAATGAGGCAAAAATGTCTGCATCCCAAACCAGTGAAAAAGAGGGAAATAACTCTAGCTCGGTGCCTGGAATTGTTTCCAGTTCCATTTCTGTTGTTTCAATTTATTGATAAAAGGAAAGACAAAGAGAGATTTCTTGCTTTTTAGATTGATAGAACAATTTTTTGACACTCATTTGTGTTAAATTTGTTTAAACAGACATGTTATCCTACCACCTGATATTGCCAAGCTTGTGCCGAAGAATCACTTGATGACGGAGACAGAGTGGCGAAATATTGGTGTGCAGCAGTCCCCAGGCTGGATCCATTACATGGTGCACTCACCAGGTGTGTACAAGTGAAAACACTATAAATATGTATGGTTTATATGTTCAACATATTTCATGGAGGATTTCAAACTGGGAGGCACCGGTTGATGTCCGTATTGACTTTTTATGTGTTGATGAATCGTTAAAAACGTCTTAATACCTATGACTGGGAGGTGCTACAAAACCGAAGTGAGTAATGCATTGTCCCAATTCTTTGGGAGGTGAAACCATCCCTCTCCTCTATGTGGCAGACAAGAGATTTTCCCAGTTCAAAACATCAGACTAATTTATACCTTTGGTAAGACACAATGTGTATGGTTTGATCCCAACTCAAAGCAGTTTGTGTTTTTCACAAAACAGATCACAGGTTGTCGTGTTCTGTGGTTGTTTTTTTCCCTTGGGCAGGACACTTAACCCTAGTCAATGACTTGAAGTGGGCCTCCCATCAGATGTGTAGGGAAAAAGCCACAAGTCACATTCAAGAAACCCATCCTCAAAACTGGTCTGGTTATTCACATAGTGTTAAATTCAACAAACAATACTAAAACTAGTAAATTTGGATAGTAGAAATTATCTTTCACTGATGTACACACCGAAACTATTGACATCTGTTAATCCTTGACAAAAGGCTTGAAACCAATATATTGACGGATGCACAGCATAGTTTTTCAAAAGAGGTTTTTATATTTTTGGTTTGTAGTCTTGTATTAACATGAAGAAATCAAAAATTCTCTCTTTTTAGAACCACACGTATTACTGTTTCGACGACCAGTACCACAGACACAGAAATCCCAGGTGTCCCAGGCCATCCCCACACAGGTACACTAATGAAGCTTTCAACACAGAATCTGTGGTGGACTGATGGAGAAAACGCTGGTCTGAGATCCAGATCAACAGAGAAAATGATGTCGCTCAGTGTGTGATTGAAAAACAGTCCTCAGACAATAGGAGTGTCTGAGAGAAGCTTTATAACAGGTGTACTTTGTTAAGCATTAAGTGGGTATACTTTTAGTCAGGGTTTTATGGAAATTTTTTTCTTAGTTTTTTTCATTTTCTAAACAAGAATGACATGAGAAAAAAATCACATTTAAGCATTCCATGAATACAAATCAGTATTTATGCTTTATTTTCAAAGGATAAATTCATGAACTTTACAATTTTGCTACTTGTGCAAAAACCCATAATTGTTTATAATTTTGGATTATTTCATCATTCAACTGCGACTTTGACTACAAAAGTAGGATCGACAGGCTGGAGCTGGTCCACCACTGTGGTAGAGGAGAAATACAGATTTCTTTTTTTACTGTGTTAAGTCTATGATAAGTCCAGACATGAATGAAGCTTGTCTTTAGAGAGGTTAGCTGTGTCTACTCTAAGTAAAAAGTTTTTAGAATGGACCACACTGCCGAGATTCCTGTATGAGAAATCTACATTGTCCAATCCAAATATTCACATTTAGAGCATTTTCTGTTTAGTTTTGAGTTTCAGCTCTAAATAACAAAATTTAATTGGTTATTTTAAACCTCTTGATTTCTTCAGGAAAAGACCTTTGTAAACGATCATCAATGATGTATTCTTGAAGTCAAAGCATAGTACAAGTAGTATTAACATTATCATGCGAAAAGTGTATATTTCTACATTTCACCTTCCAAACTTGGAAAGTCGAATGATAATGTTTGATGGGCATTTTACAGAGCTGGGTTTATCATAGGCTAGACATACCATATACCTGGTAATTTTTGCGAGTGAAAAGTTTCAGGATTTTCTTTTGAAAGAATCAAAATATGTTTTAACGAGTCAAAATTTTGCAGTCTGGATGTAAAAGGACATCTACACAAATGTCAAATTATTTCAAAGACTAAATTTTTGAATTTTTTTTTTAATGTACGGTAAAATAGCAAAAATATGGTCCCTGCAAAAATAAGCAGCTATATGGTAGCTATGTATATATTAATGACTTTGTTGATATTATCTGAATCTCCATGTTATTTTTTATGTTAGTGTTATAGAATGTTTTGATGATCACAGATCATTTTCTGAGAAAAAACCAGATTTTTTCAGAAAATCCTATTTATGTTTATAATCCCTTGTAATGAATCTTAATGCTTATGATGAACACAGGATCACATGTGAGTGAATCAATAATATTTTTGGATTCATCTACAAGATATCATAGTGACATTATCTTGCAGATAATAAATGTTAGGCAAACAGTCATTTGTGAGAAAAAAAAATGAAATTTTTTTAATTTACCTACAAGAAATCATAGCAATTTTATGTGAATCAATATGAAATTACATATTTGTTAAGTTCTTTGAGTATTTGATATCATTAAATCTTTAAATTATGGGTCAGCGGTACACTTTCCTTATTTTTACTAGTGTGATCAGTTACCTCCCTTTAGTTGTTTATGACAACCACTGACATTTTTTTTTTTGAGGGGTTTTGAATATAAATATGAATATAACATGTTATCCTTATCTTTTTAAATTATATCTTCTTTGTATAAAGAAATGTTGTGGCTGTGTTATAGATGAGATGGCTGTCAGATAATTTAGACTGGGCTCTCCCAAATTTCTTTTCTTAAAATCAGCAACTGCTACAATTTTTGTAGGAAGAGTTCAGGATAGTTCTTTCTTTTAAATTAAGATTTTTAAAATAAACAGAAATGAAAATAGAAATATCCTTATTTGGAGTATATCCCTCCAACAACATGTCTATTTTCTCTTGTCAATATTGATTCACAATTACTTTGAAATTTGGAAGGACCCTACTAAAATCTTATGTCATCCCTTATACTGATGTCAGTATATAGTGCTTTGTTTTTACGGTGCTGTTAAAACTGTTTTAATTCATGTTAGTAGTGATATTAAAATGTAGCGGATACATTACTGAAAAAGTATTAATCATTTATATGTTAAGAAGAATTTAATTGTAGATTTGTGTCAGTGTTTCAGTTTCATTTACACTCATCAGACATCTGTTACCAATTTAACTAACGCTTGTTAGCTAGTCACCACAGTATAATGTTAACTGAATTAATATGGTATACTTCCATAAACAAAAGATGTCCTTTTTTCTGCATCACATAAACGTTTAAAAAAAATTCTTCATATATGATGAGCTATCTTCTTTTCCAAAATTGAATGCTTGAAAATCATCTCCAGATATTTCATTGTTACAGTTTGTAAGGTAGTGGCTCTCTGTTAGAGATGTTCTTGGTCACTAAAAGGCTTCCCAACCATATTCCGAAGAGCCTGTTGATAATAGACAAGCAGAGGTTAATAAAGTCCTTTCTTTTTTATTGAGATGTTATTGATTGTACGAGTACATAGAACAGATGTCCTACAGGATGCCAACAAGATCAAAATCTTGTTTTTTTTTAAACTATTGGAACACTGCCTGACAATTAGTTTTTTGTGTCGCCTGCAGAGCTGGCGGACACTTAGGGATCACTTTGTCTGTCGTCATGCGTCCGTACGAAAGCTTTCTGGACTTTTTTCGGTAATGCTTTGAGTTATCAAAATGAAATTTGGCATATGGCTTTTTGTTGCAAAGGTAAAGAATAACTTCGATTCCTGGTTGTCTGTGACCCTTCTTGGCTGAGTTATGCCCCTTTGAACTTAGAAAATTCTCTAGGAATATTGTTTTCATGACTTTCTTTGTTTATGCTTCAAGTTATCGAAATGAAATTTGATATATGGCTTCTTATTGCAAGGGTACAGATTAAGTTTGATTTCCGATTGTCTGTGACCCTTTTTGGCAGAGTTATGCCCCTTTCAACTCAGAAAATTCTCGAGGAATATTGTTTTCTTGACTTTCTTTGGTTATGCTTCAAGTTATAGAAATGAAATTTGGTATTACAACTTTATGGTTGATTGTTGCACATCCAGTTCAATTTCTGGGTGACCGTGACACTTTATGCAGGCGATACATACATTTTCAAGGAACTCTTGTATTCAGTCTCTCTGACTGTCTCTTAGGTGACACTCTCAGTTTCATACCTTAGATTAACCAATTTTTAGAGTCTTTACCAAATATTTTACAACACATTCAAGAGAACTGGGGCTTCATATATTTCATGAGATAAGACCTTGCAATTTGGTCAGTCTTGGATCTCAAATTTCCTTACTGTCAAAACATAATAATATTGTGAAACTGCTCTTAGATTGAATTTTCAAAAACATCAGTACTTTTGTAATGGTGACTGTGGTTTACTTTTTCATGATTACATAATTATTGTTTTTTGTTAAAAATGGGTACTTTAAGTATTTCATGATATCGGAACCGTTTTTCTTACACAAGTCAATGAGCTAGTAAAATACTTGTTTTCATAATTTTCATTACTCTTTCAATTACAAGTATAATGTAGATTTTAGATATGTATATACGTGTGTTTTATAGGATCACTCTAGTTGTTGTACATATTTAGCTCAAACTTGCCTGTAATTTAAATGAAGAGGGGACAAATCAACAGTTTACTGCAACCTTAGACCCCCAGCACATTTTATCTGGATCTTGAAAAAAGTGATTAATTTTAGCTATTCAATGATCAATGATTAGACTTTTAGCACCTTACCTAAATTACTTTTCACCCAATTTCTGTTTATGTTGTTCATGGCATTTTTTGTTCATTAAATTTAGTTGTTGTTTGAAGAAAGGTGTTGTCACAATATGTACTGCCTTTTACTTCCAAACATTATATGTTTTACGTTCTGCACTTTGTTTGGTTGATTTTATTTTTACAGTTTTTACAACGTAACCAGACCATTTTATTGTGTATTACAGTCAACAAATGAGTGACTTGTCACATGAATTTTACCTGAAATATTTAATTTGATCCATGGCATTTATAGTATCGTGTGCCCACCTGTAAAGTGTAGACATTCCAAAAACAACCATGCATTTCACAAATGTAATTCAGAAATTGGTCTGCCTGTCTTCTTCATTGGAGGTGAACATGACAGGTTATTTTGGTCGACAGCAGTTGAAGTAATACTACACTAAGTGGCAGATACAATTTATTTCAGTAGAACCTATTGTTTTAGGTCTTGATGTTTTAATTGTTGTTTTTTTGTGTAGTGCAATGTGTTGTTTTACTTAGTCAAATTTAAGTCAGAATTATACTCATTGTTTTTATCCATTAGGAGAGTTTTGTGCTCTGCATTGTTAATGTCCTTGACAAAAGAAAACAAATTTAAATGTGCTGTCAGTGAAGTGTTTTCTGACTAAATACTTGGATGAAAAATTTTTCTGAACACTTTCCGCTTAATATGTTAAATACACATATTTGACACTTGTTTGGAACTTACTACTTCATATCTTAAATACATATATTTAACACCTGTTTGGATTGATAAGAAATCTGGGCTTCTGAAAATCATATTCATAAACCACGTTTTGACAAAAAAATTCTATTTGATGCAATTTATTGAGCCTTTCATTTTGGTTTGATTTCATGGATCAGTGAAATAAAGAATAATGAAAAACTAACCAGAGAATGTGTCTCAATTCAAATTATCGTCTGAAGAGGCACGGCTGGCAAGATGACAAGATAATTAGTAGGTATCCACTGCAATATTTTTCAAAGTATAACATAAAAAGGCTGAGCGACTTTAATGTATAGTTTAATCATCTTCACCAAAAAGCAATTGTAAATTCATATCTAGCAACTAGAATGTTAATAGCAGCAACAAAATGAGATTGGTTTATGATTTCAAGTTATGTACAAATTTTTATACGAGTTGACAAAACAGGATTTTTTTTTCCGTGATGTGAAAAATTGAAATGCCAGATATTTATTCTTCTTTGATTTTAGAGCACGTAGCTTGTTTGCAAAAAGAAATGATCTTGACCCATAGTCAAGGTCAAATGGGCCAAATGTGTTAAACGTGGAACATATGCACAGATATAGTATAGTTGGTCATCCAGATTAGGGATACAGGGCCTCTGGGCCTCTTGTTCTGACTTAGGAACTCAGTTTTTAAAATGCAAAAATGCTGGTTAAAGTG